AGTGTACAGGGGAAGTTTGGGGTGCACAGGGGAGGTTTGGGGTACACAGGGGGACTTTGGGGTGCAGAACGGGGTGCGGGGGGAGTTTGGGGTGCACAGGGGGACTTTGGGGCGCAGAACAGGGTGCGGGCTGGGTTTGAGGTGCACAGGGGGTGGATCGGGGGGGTTCGGGGTCTCCGCTCCCACCTGCTCTCCGGCCGCGGCCCCTCCCGGCAGGAAGCGGGGGCGGGGCTTAGCGAGAGGCTCCTCCCTATAGGCGGGGCCTATTTCGTGCCCCAGGGGCGTGGTCGAACTGTGGCTCCTCCCCCTGGCGCTCCCGAGTTCCCCCCCCCCATTTCCCCCCCCGGTGCTTCCGTTTTCCCCGCACGTACCTGGCGAAGGGGGGGTGGTCGCGGGCCGGGGTCCCCCGTGGCCGTGGGGGGCGCGGGAAGGGGCGCGGGACCCGCAGCCAGGCGCTGCAGCCGCTGGAGCGCCCGCTCGGCCGAGAGCCGCGCCTCGGGGTCGGGGTCCCAGCAATCTTCCAACAGCTCCGGCAGAGCCCCCCCGGGCTGTGGGACGACCCCCCCAACACCACCATGGGCTCAGGGGGGAAGGGGGAACACCCCCATGCCCAGGGTATCCCACCCGGCATGGCACCCTCAAAGAGGGACATCCCCCAAACTGGGACACCCACCCTGGGTGGGGACACCTCTGGCACCCTCAAAGAGGGACATCCCCTAAACTGGGACACCCACCCTGGGTGGGGACACCTCTGGCACCCTCAGCACCCCTGGGCACCCAGGAGGGGACCTCCCCTGGGAAGGGGCACCCCTGGGCACCCCCAGGCACCCCTGGGCACCAAGGCAGGGCCCCCTCCTTGGCCATGGGCACCCTGGGTCACCCTGCACACCCCTGAGACCCTCTGGGCATCGACCCCCACGGGGTCACCCCCACCCATGGGCACCCTCAGGCACCCAATCAGGGGGTGCCCCCCGGGGGTCTGACCTGGGGGGTTTGGTGCCAGGAGGGGGGGATGAGCGGCCGCCGCCGCTCGTCCGCGGCCAAGCGCCGGAGCTGAGCCCCCGTGGGGCTGGAGCCCAGCTCCGCCTCGTAGGCCAGCTGGAACGCTGGCACAGGGGCTCCTGTGGGGCAGGGAGGGGGTCAGCGGGGCCGGGGGGGGGGTCTGCAGGGAGCGACAGGGGGGATCCCCAGGGGTGCTCACCGGGGCTGAGGGCCTGGCAGCGCGACAGGATCTCCCAGAGCAGCAGTGCCAGGGCGTAGACGTCGGCCTGGCGCAGGGCACGGCCCCAGGCCCGCAGGTCCAGGCTCTCGTCCAGGATTTCGGGCGCCAGGTACCGCTGGGTGCCCGCCTGCGCCCGCCGGGGCCGTGAGCACCGTGCAGGGTCGGGGGGCACCGGGGGGTAGGGGGGCACGTGGGCGCCAAGCTCGGGCACGACCCTGCCGGCCGTGTTGGGGGGTCCCATCCCCATCCCATCCCATCCCACCCCATCCCATCCCGCCCCACCCCACCACCTTGCGGATGGCCACGGCGTGCCGGGCCCCGGTGCCGTCCTGGGCGCGCGGCGGCAGCGCCAGCGCCAGCCCGAAGTCGCCGATGGCGCAGGTCCCGTCCTCCCTCACCAGCACGTTCTGGCTGCTCAGGTCCCGGTGCACCACGCTGGGCTTGTACAGTCCTGGAGGGAGATGGAGGAGCTCGGGGTTGGGGGAGGCTCAGGGTGGGGGGGAACCCCCCCCCAGCAGAGCTCGGGGCGGGGGTGCCGCGCTCACCGTCACGCCAGAGCTCCTGGTGCAGGAAGGCCAGGCCGCGGGCCAGGGACAGCGCCAGGCGCACGCTGCCCACCCAGGTGCCCACGTGCTGCCCCAGGAAGTGGCGCAGGGACCCCTGGGGACACAAGGGGGGGGGGGGGGACACGGGTGGGCACACTGGGCAACCCCCCTCACCTCACCCCCCTGTTATGGGGGTGTGCCCAGCAGAGGCCCAAACGGGGCAGGCACCTCCATGACCTGGGCACACCTGGGCACACCTATTCACACCTGGGCACGCCAAGGCATGCCCAGACACGCCCAGGCAAGCCTATTCACGCCCATACACGCCCGGGCACACCTATTCATGCCCGGGCACACCTGTACACACCTATTCACTCCCAGGCACACCTGTACACACCTATTCACGCCCAGGCACACCTGTACACACCTATTCACTCCCAGGCACGCCTATTCATGCCCGGGCACACCCGAGCACGCCTGTGCACATCTATGCACGTCTGGACACGCCTGTGCATCCCCCCCCCCCCCCCCCCCCCCCCCCCCCCCCCCCCCCCCCCCCCCCCCCCCCCCCCCCCCCCCCCCCCCCCCCCCCCCCCCCCCCCAACCCAGGCACACTTGGGCATCCCCCAGCAACCTCTGCACCCACCGTGCCTTGCACACTCCCCCTCCGCTCCCCCGTGCCCCCCGTGCCCCCCGCGGGACTCACGGCCGGGTAGAGCTGCAGGACGAGGAGCCCCCCGCGGGCGCGGGGCCCGGCTCCCCTGGTGCCCAGCAGGCGGGCCACGTTGTCGTGCTCCATCAGGGGCAGGGCGTGCACGGCCCGTTCTGCCGCGAAGCGCCCGCGGGCTCCCGCCGCGAACGCCTTGATGGCCACGGGCCGCTGGCGAAGGGTCCCCCTCCAGACCGCCGAGAAACGCCCCGACTGCAGCACCTGCCCCCGTGGGGGGGGATACACACGCGGTCGGGACTGGGTGTCCCCAACCCCAGGTACCCCAACACACAAGGATGTTCATCCCTCATCCCCCACCAGGCACCCGCGGGTGTGCCCGGTCCCAGTGTCCCACACCCTGGGCACCCCTGGGCACTCTCAGCCCCGTGTTTCGTTGTGCCACCCCCACGGGTGATCCCCTAATCCCGTCACACACCCACCATGGGTGCCCTCCCCCCCTCCAGCATCCTCTCTTTAACTGCCCTCCCACTTGGGTGCCCGCCCTGGGTGGATGCCCCTTGCCCATGATTGTCCCTCCCCAGAGTGGTTTCCCCCCCTTTTTGGGTGCCCTTTGCCCCATAAGTGCCCCGTTGGGTGCCCCCCATGTTGGGTGCCCCCTGTGTTGGGTCCCTCCCCCACCCACAGGTGCCCCGCACCTGCAGGAAGTGCAGCGCAGGCAGGTCCGGGCTGGGGGGCTCTGGGGTGACCCCGATTCTCCGGCCCCCCCGGGGTGGCTGCCCCGTGTGGGTCCTTGTCCGTCGCAGCCCTGGATGGGGGACAGGGGGGGGACACCGGGGACACCCCAATCCGGGGACGCCCCCACCCAGGAACCCCCCCATCAGTCAGGGGGACAGGGCCTGAGGACACCAGGGACCCCCGGGCCCCCACCTGGGGGGACAGGGGGACCCCCATATCTGAGGGTTCCTGCACCCTGGGGACACCCCACCCACCGAGGGGTCCCCAGGACAGCAGGGACCCCCACCCCACCCCAGGGACAGGGTGACACAACACTTGGGGACCCCCCCAGCCCCCCCACCCCGGGAGACTCGCACCCTGGGGACATCAGGGATGTGGCATTTGGGGACACCCAGGGGACACGGGGTAGGGGGTGCCTGTGCCCGGGGGGTCCCCCCCACCCCCCTCCGTGTCCCAGTCCCTACCGAGGATGCCCAGACAGGTGAGGAGGATGAGGAGGAGGGAGCCGGCCCCCCACAGCCACAGGGTCCCCGCGGACCCCCCCGGGCCGGGCACTGGGGACAGAGGCTGAGGTGACACAGGGCCCCCCCCCATACACACCTGGTGGGGACTCAGGTGGCCGGGGTGGGGATGGGGGGCCTTTTTAGGGGATCCCATGAGTTCCCCAGCCCCCCCTGTGAGTCCCAGGTCCCACCCTCGAGTGTCCCCCACAACCCCCCCCCCCACCTCCCGGTGGGTCCCACCCGCCCCCCCCCTCCAGTGCTCCCCCCGTACCTGGGCCCTGCTGGGGTCCCCCCAGCCCCACGGCCGTGCCCGTCCCTGTCCCTGTCGCTGTCGCCGTGGTGTTCCCGTTGCAGAGGTGGCCGTGGCACAGGCACACGAGGACGGCACCGCCGGGGGGTCCCGCGGGGCTGGGGGCGCAGGTGGGCGAAGGGCAGGCGGCCCCCCCACCCCCCCAGCAGCCTGGGGACATCGTCACCGTCACCGAGGCTACCCCGGAGATGCTCGGGGGGGGCACCTCGAGGCGGGGATGGGGCAGGGGGACAGGTAGGACCCCCTTGTTTGGGACCCTCCCGTGCCTGGCACCCCCCTCCCCGGTACCTCTCCCCCCCAAAATCCCCCTATCCGGGACCTCTCATGCCTGGCACTGGGAGCCCCCCTATTCTGGGACCCCCCCAATGCCTGGCACTCCCCTCTCTGGGACTCCCCTATTCTGGGACCCCCCCAATGCCTGGCACTCCCCTCCCCGGGACC